CGATTACAGAAAACTTGTAAGCCTATCTTCAGCCTATAACCAATTGGAATACCTATAAGGGATTCTAGAACTTGCCCAGTGAAACAGGCTTCTTGCGGAGCATTTGCAGAGTATAGGACCTTAGGTGGAATCCTGAGTCTCATCCAAAACCTTATGAGGTGGGACATTTCCACTAGCAAGGACAAGCAGACCAGCCTGGAACAGCTAGAGCAACAGAAGAGACATCTTCAAAGAAAGATCATCAGGAAAAATCCAAAACAAAAATGTCAGCATGACTGGCTACTACAAGAACAAGCAAACTGTTCGCCAGGAAGCCATCAAGGGAAGCAGTCAAGTTCCTTCAGGACAAACTCCCCTCTAAAACTGAAATTCAAAGGGAATATACAAACAGGCATGTAAGCTTGCTGGCAACCACATTGGTTTACTGGTGAGTGGAAGAGGGGAAAGGCAGCAATGAAGAAATGGGCTGAGTTCAACCACAGTACATTGACTCCCGTTGACCTGGAGATGAGAGAAAGAAGAAGAAGGGGCTGGTTGGTCCAAAGTGTGGTGAGACCTGGGGACACTTGAGCCCATGGACAAGGGCATAGCCAACACAGGGCTAGAGCTGAAAGTGAAGTATCCACTGGATATGAAGTGAAGGGAGATGCACAGGAATCCCCAAACTTGCAGATAGTACCCATTTGACCTAGCATCGATGGCTTCATAATCAGAACTCAACTAGAGGAAGATTACACACACAAAAAAATTTTTTGATAAAGGAAAAAAGTATAAATTGCTACAATTTGATGAACCTGACCTATATTCATGGAGGTAGTAACTCTAAATACCAACAGAGAAGGAAGCAGTCTTCATATCAAGTATCAATCTTATCTCTTCTGTACACAGGGTAGATAGGGACAGGCAACTTAGACATTGGATACCTAAATTGAGGGGGGCGATAAAGGCATGAAGGGACTGGCTTACAAGGTTTCAAGGGGGAGTTTAGTTTAAGAGTATGGGGGTGAAGAAAGGGTCCCCACTGAATAGTTTTCATCTTGTCTAGATGGGTCTGGTGAAAAGAGATGGGGATAAGATTCGTATGATTCAATAGTCAATCATTGTTATCATGACTAATTGTGAGTGTCACGATTGTAAAGGTAGAAGCTTTGTAACAAAAACCGGGGAGTGGTTAATCTTACAGTCCAGAAACAGAGGGCCCTAGGACCATCAAGAGAGAAGCTCACAAGCAGAATGCGGGACCTTATCCAGAGAAGCAGGGACACCAGAGATGGAGGCAGAGATGGGGACATGGAGAGAGGGAGCGGCTGAGAACTCTAGATTCATGGGAAGAGAAGGACTAAGAGCTGGTGGCCAGGAGGCAGACTTGCAGAATGTGCCCTTTGGAGGTGTGAATTATTATACCTACCTCAGTGTTTTCTGTTTTTGTTTTTTAAAAAAACTAAAGTGAATAGAGAGCAATACTGTTAACTAATGGTACATGGAGGGGATTACAATCATTGTAATGAAACATGGTGTATGATTTGTTGAATGTAAAACTGATGATCTGCCCTGTAAACTTTCACTCAATCCACAATAAACACCTTAAAAAAAAGAAAAAAAGACTTGCCAATACCAAGTGTTGGCAAGGATATAGAATAACTGAAACTCTCCTATACTGCTGGTGGGAATGGAAATTGTCACAATCGCTTAGGAAACAGTTTAGTCGTTTGCTAAAATGGAATGATCCAGTCATTCCAATTCTAGATATTTGCCTAAAAGAACTGAAAGCATAAGTCCGTACAAAGACATGTACATAAATGTTCATAGAGGCTTTTTGTGTAATAGTCAAGAACCACTGTCAATAAAGAAATCCTGGTAGTGTAGTAGATTACAAGCTGGACTACTAACCACAAGGTCAGCACTTTGAATCTCCCAGTCGTTTCATGGGAGAAAGATGAGGCTCTCTGTTCTCATAAAGATTTATAGTCTTGGAAACCCTGTTCATGCTCACTATGAGTTGAAACCGATTCAGTGGCATACAACCACCACCACCAATCACCATTGTTAATAAACAAGTGAAAGAGTGAAGAAATTACAGTATTCATATACAATGAAATACTACTCAGCAATAAAAGAGAAAGAATTACTGATCCACACAATAACATAGATAAATCACAAAACAATAATATTGAATAAAAGAAACCAAACAAAAAAGGGTACATATTATGTAATTCCACTTATGTGAAACAAAAAATGCAAATTAATCTAAAGTGACAAAAAGCAGATAAGTGGTTGCCAGGAAGGGCAGAGTGGCATAGAAGGATTACAAAGGGGCATAAGAAAACTTTTGGGAGAGATAAATATGTCTACTATCTTAACTATAATGTGATTTCACAGATGTATACATGTCAAAACATAAAATTGTACACATTACCTATGTGCATTTTTATTATATGTCAACTCTGCTTCAATTAATTTGTCAAAATATGTAATGAAGAAAAAAATAGTCTTACTTGATTCAAAGGACTCAACCCCAAAAGGGGATATGGTTGAAAGAGCAAAGACCTAGGTTCAAAACCCTGCTCTGCCAAAAAGTCACTGTATGTCCTTGGACTGATTACTTAACTTCTCACATTCTACTCAGTTTCTTCATCCATAAAATGGGGATAATAATGCCTCAAAGATTTGTTGCTAAATTTGCATTAGGTACCAATATACCTTAAACTCTCTCTCTAAGGTAGTTAGGTTTGTCTCTGTTCCTTTCATTTCCCCTCCTTGCCTTTTCCTTGCAGATTGGGATCCAAGTCTCAAATACATTCAAGGGAGAAATAAAGAGGACAAAACAGGGTTAAAGGCACATCATGGACTCCCTTCTCCTAAAAATAAAGCTTGAGAGCAGGGCCTGAGATTTCCTGGTAGGTGGACCCAGGGATCAGGAAGAAGGAAGTAGAAAACACGAGTGAGTCAGGGAAGGAGAAAATGCGGATTAAAAAGGTGCATGTTGAGGTAGATACTAATGTGGAACTCAGTTCATCGAAGGATCCTCTGAAGAACTCTAGAGTGGACTTCAGGATTGAGCCTCTGAGGGACATGAGGTTGTGGCACTAGGCTGCCCTCCACTGGCTGAGAATTAGGTCCTTAAAGACAAGAATTCTCTTCCCTTCCACATTTATGCTGGAAAGAGACAAAAAAGTATAAACATGGCCTCTTGCATGGGGCACTGGCAGGGTCATGGGACTGTCCACCACAGCTGCAGCTCAAATCAGAAGTGGGCTAATGACATGTGGCACAGATCTAAAAAAGTAGCTACTTCAGGTCCGAAGCCCTTGGGTCAACCACATTGTTGTTGAATCAATTCCAATTCATAACAACTCTATGCTTACAAAATAGAACTGTTCCATAGGATTTTCATGGCTGCAACATTTTGGAAGCAGTTCACCAGGCCTGTCTTCTGAAATGCCTCTTGTCCTTGTTAATGCCGTCCAGTCTGTTCCAGCTCATAGCGACCCTGTATAGGGTTTCCAAGGCTGTAAGTCTTTACAGGAGCAGAAAAGCTCATCTTTCTCCTGCGGAACAGCTGGTAGTTTCGACCTGCTGACCTTGAGGTTAGCAGCCCGATTCATAACCACTATGCTACCGGAGCTCAAAACTCCTCTATCCTCAAGACTAGCCAGGAGAGAAGAGAAAGAATACTTTAGGGGTTAGTCATTAAAGAGACCCTAGGAGAAATGGGGAGTGCTGGGAACTTCCTGAAAGGCAAAGCTACTAGTACTTCACTGAGCAGTGGTTGGTAGTGGTTTGTGTGCCTTTGAGTAGGTCCCAACTCATAGTGACCCTGTATAGAGTTTCTGAGGCTGAAAATCTTTATGGGAGCAGAAAGTCTCGTCTTTCTACCACAGAGTGGTTGGTGGATTCAAATTGCTTTTAGTTAGCTGCTCAGTATTAACCTGTTAAGCTACTAGGGCTACAAATAGCTAAAAGGCAATAAACCTGGGTTTAAAAACCTGTATACAGGTCCTTGAGCTGGTTACTTAATTTCTTGTAGCCCCCTCAGTTTTTCCTGAACTGCTCTCAGAATCTTTCCTTGTCTTTGGTTTTGGAAAGTTTGATTATTTGTCTTGGTGATTTTCTTTTGGGGTCTATCCTGTTTGGAGTTCGTTTGCTTTTTAAATGCATATCTTCTCATGTTTCATGATGTTAGGGACATTATCTCCCAACAACTCCACAATTTTCTGTCTTTTTTGAGCTTTTTGTCTCTTCAATCAGCCTTAGATTGTTCTGGAATTTCATCTGCAGCTTTCCTAACCTTTCTCTCAATCCATTGAAGGTACCGAAGTATCATTCTTTTGAATTCCTTATCAGGTAGTTCTGATATCATTTCTGATATTATATTTCCTGACTCTGAATTTTGGTCACTTATTTGAACCACTCTGTCATGTTTCCTTTTTGTTTTTTTTTTTTTATTTAAGTTTTTATTGTGAATTATGTGATAGTTTACATGGAAGAACATTAGCTCTCCATTCATCCTATCTTATTTCATTTCATTGCAATAATTACAATTCCCTGCATGTCATGTTTCTTTATATAAACTGAAACTGTCTGCTGTCTCTGAGACATTGTGATGCCATTGGATTGATATTTAAATTGATGATTGTATGTTGGTGTGTTCTTAGCACCCACCCCTTGTCTCCTGGTGGGTGTAATAAAGATTGGAAGTGTGTATACAGTTCTCTATTTGCTGTTCCTGTAGCACAGTTCAAGGTGGATTTGTCTGGTGTACACTGCTGATTACTATTGATCAGGTAAAATAGGAGTGGGTAATAGTGATTATGTAGTGGGTGATGCTACAGGAGTTACGGATGTAGCTAGGCCATATGGGCACAATTACTGTCTTCCCAAAACAAATAATAATAATGAAAGATCTGATGAGGCGAAATTCACAAGCCTCCAAACACAGGGGTGATATGCCTGACCACTGACCACTGACCACAGGCATAACCAAGTCTGCACAGGCAGGAATGGGCAGGTGAGGGCAGGGGCTGCCACTACAGCTAAAAATCAAATCAGAGTCTCAACTGATTCATTCCAGAATCAGGAAGATGTAGAGATTTTCCTTGCCAGGGGCTACTATCATAGGGGCTACTGTGTGTCTCTGTGTCCATCCTACTCAGAAAGGATTAGATTTAGAACCCGTACTCTACTCATGTATGGCCTAGTTAATATAACAAAGAAGTCCTATTACTAAGCAGATGTGTTGTTGTTAAGTGCAGTCGAGTCGGTTCCAACCCATAGCCACCCTGAACAGGGTTTCCGGGGCTGTAAATCCGTATGGGAGCAGAAAGCTTCATATTTCTACTGCGGAGCAGCTGATAGTTTTGAACTGCTGACCTTGCGGTTCACAGCACAATTCGTAACCACTACGGTACCAGAGCTCCTAGGATTTTAATACATATTTTGAGGGAACACACCTCAATCTACAATAATCTTCTCAGCTCAAACCTTGAGAACGTTTTGTGTGTCTTTTCATAGGAGTCCTGGTGTAGTGCTCTAAGATAAGCACTGGACTGCTATCTGCATGGTCGGTGGTTCAAATCCACCAACCTCTCTTTGGAAATCCTGGACAGGGTCTGGTCTCTGTGAGTCAGAACCAATTCAACAGTACTTAACAACAATCTCAAAAGAGTTCTGCCATGGAAAGAAAAAGACTAAGTGCTGGCAGCCAGGAGGCAGGCTTGCAGACTGTGCACTTTGGTTGTTTAAATTATTATATATTCCTGAGTGTTTTGGGGTACACCACCCCCACCACCCCCACTCCCTGTCGCAAAAAAAAAAAAAAAAAAAAAAAACAGAGGAGATTGTAATCATTGCAATGAAACAATGGTGTCAAATCTCCCATGTAATCTATCACTCAAATCACAATAAAAATTTTAAAGAAGAAAACACACAAATGAGTCCTGCAGGGTGCAAACGGTTTGCACTCAACTACTCACCTAAGGTTGATGGTTTGAAATGACTCATCAGTGCCATGTTCTCCCATCTACTTCCATAACAATTATTAACAAAGAAAACCCAGTGAAATTCAGTTCTACTCTGCCATCATGAGTCACGATCAACTTCCAGGGCAAGCGTTAGTGTGTTGCGGACTAGTCATTTGCCTGTGTTTGCTTTTCCCTGTCTAGTGACGTTTGTTTTCAATCAGCTGAGAGCAGAGATAAGAATTCCTCTGTAGACATATTGGAGCAGACTTGGCCCCGTGAAAGGGATCTACACTACCACAATAAAAAGGTTTCTTACCACTTTTCTGTTCTGTTTTCACCTCCAGACAAACAGTGAGGCCATTTTATTTTCCTACAAAACTAGGACAATAAGTCCAACCTCACAGCTTTTTTCACTGTTAATGATATAATAATGATGGTGGGAACAAAAAGGGTCCCTTAGTCAGTTTGAAATGCTTATTCACCTTTCCCACCTCACAGTGAACTTTGCACTTTCACTTTCTGATGGAAATCACTTCTCCCAGGTTTTAAAATCTTTACTCATTCCAAGAGCTAACTTCAATGAAGTATCAAAGGTGATGTCACCAGGCCTAACTGTAGTTTCAGGAAAACAAGAGAGAATAGCAAAGGGTAGATTTCTGGGTGAGGGCACTGGTAGATGGGAGAAGAAAGCTGCTACCCCACTGGTCAATGTGCTGAAGGAAAAGAAGAAGCTGAAATGTACTATGACTACACACATTTCATAAATTCATTTTAGGAAAATTAGAAAATACAGATTTAGATAGAAGAAAGCAAAACTCACTTGCAGAAGAAGGAGGGTGGCGGAAGAATAATGAAATTATTATTATATTAAAGGTGTAGACACAGGAAGGTATGCATGGGTAAAGGGGATAGAGCTAATAGTCATATATACATAAATACCACACTGGACCACAGTGTTCTGGGCATTGGATACATAGATTGAGATATAGGCTGAATGGGTAAGGAAAGAAGAGTAAGTTTTTTTTTTTTTTTATCCCACAAATACATAAGAGTTTGAAAAAGAAAAATGAAGCATTCTTTGATGGTTGTCAGGGTGGGATGGAAGGGAGAGTAGTTCACTGGTCATAGGGCAGATGCATGTTAACTTGGGTGACAGGGTGGGTGATATACTATACAAAAAGAGGGAAGTTGGCAGAAGTATTATGAAGACAGGTGAAGATACAGGGGATATACAAGGGCTAAAGGGGACAGAAGTAAATAGTGATACATATACAACCTTGGAACAACAATACTCCATGTAGATACATGCTGCATGATTCTGGGAAGAAGAGTAGAATGTATGTATGTGTGTATGTATGTGTATGTGTATATATGTATGTATGTATACATTTATATGTCCCACAAATATACAAAAGTGTGAAAGAGGACTGGTACACTAGTATTTGCCTTTCCTGCAAATACCACTGTGAATGTGGTGGTGAACACAGCAGGCAAAAAGATGAAAACTTCTTATATATTATTAAACATCTTACGGCAATGAATAGCTGAGCCTGGGCGCTCAGGACCATAATTTCAGGGGACATCATAGTCAGTTAGTACACAAAGATAATGTTCTATATCAGCCAAGCAGTAGATAGGTATAGAAGGGGAACAACAGCACTAGTAAGATATGCTCACTATGAGTGCTGAAGTGGCAACATGTACCCAAGGACAATAGCAAGAAGGGATGGGAAGGTGAATGAAATGGAAACAGGAGCCATGGGAGGAAGTGGATGACTTGTTACATGGAGGGGACTGCAACCACTGAGATGAAACAAGGTGTACTATTTGTTGAATGTAAAACCAATGATCTTGTCAGTAAACCTTCACTCACTTTATATATGTGTAATGGTTACAAGTTGGGCTGCCAACCTCAAGATCAGCAGTTTAAAACTACAAGCTGTTCCGCAGGAGAAAGATGAGGCTTTCTGCTCCCATAAAGAGTTACAGCCTTGGAAACCCTGTACGGATTTACTATGAGATGGAACCAACTCCACAGCACATAATCAACCAGCCATGCATACATATGTTGCTGTTAAGTGCAGTCAAGTCGGTTCTGACTCACAGTGACCTATATAGATAGGGTTTCCAAGGAGCTGCTGGTGGGTTTGAACTGCCAACCTTCTGGTTCGCGGTCTAGTGCTGATCCTACAGTGCCACATCAGAAGTCCATATATGTTATTAAGTGCGGTCGAGTTGGTTCCAAGTCATAGCAACCCCATATAGGGTTTCTGAGGCTTGTAAATCTTTTGCATGAGCAGCTCAAACTGCCAACCTTGTGGTTCTCAGTCCAGTGCTTATCCTATATATATATATATATATCAAAAAGCTCATGGAAAAAATCCATTGTATTTTCATTCAAATTTTCCACAAGCTTTTTGATGCTCTCTTGTGTGCGTGTGTGTATATACGTGTGTATGGTGGTGTTCCATCTGTTGTGTCAGTAAGACTGTAAATCTTTACAGGAGCAGAAAGTCTCATCTTTTTCCCATAGAGTGGCTGGTAGGTTTGAACTGCTGATCTTGTGGTTAGCAGTCCAGTGCTTATCCTACAGCACCATCAGCATGCTCTCTCTTGAATTTAACTGGTCCATCAGATCACCTCAGAAACCACTTTTTTGATTGGATTTTTCAAGGCACCCTATGAAACTAAGACAAGTGTATTGATAGAACTTCTGTCTACAGATTGGGAGACATATTTGAACACGTTTTGTTTGGTATAATCCCATGCATGTATGAACTGGAACCTTAGAAGCAATACTTTTGAACTTATCCTTTATTTATAAATTATATACATTCTATATTATAAATATATATTTACATGCAATAAAGATATAAAACATATTTATAGTATATATCATATTTTATACATTATATAGGAGTGTGGCACTGTAGAATAAGCACAAGATCAGCAGTTCAAACTCACCAGTTACAAGGACACTGTGAGTTAGAACCAACTTGCCTGTGCTTAACAATAACAATATATATTATATATTTAATTTTTTTCTATTTCCACATATATATTCTTTACTGAGAAAATTATATATATATATATACACATATCCTTTTCTCTGTAAAATTTAGTGTTCAAATCAAATAACAAAATGTTTATTAATATGAATTTTCACATTTTCCTATTTAATACATGGAGTCATAGTTTTTGCAGATCCTTTTCAAATCAGGTCCCTGGGTGGCACAAATAATTGGCTGGAATTTCTAATTCAAACAACAGTTGAGAATTAGGACTAGAACATTCAACAAGAATGATCACTCCCCTCTCCCCCAACAACACCAGGAAAAAGAACCAGAGAAGTTACCAGGGATGGGCAGAAGGCCCTCAGAGACAATCAGGAAGAGGACAGGAATAAAAGACACCCAGCTAGACTCCCAAAATCTGGTGCAAAAATTAAGAGTACTAATATCCAGGGATCAACTCTGCCTTGACACTCACCTCACAGTCCACCCACATACACACCATCTTTTAGAAGCAGAAGACCTTAGACATTCACTCCAGGTGCCGTGCCCTGCCCCTCCTCTTAAAGTTTATCTTGAGTCATAAAGTAGTATGAACTCCGACACCATTCCAACCGTCTCAGTTGTCCCTGGTTTCTCTAGAGGAGCAAACCCAGTGAAACTGGTGCTGTGGGTTAATGAGCGGGACTGCAAGTAGGTTCCATCGCAAGGTCCATCGCATGAAATTATTATTATATTAAAGGTGTAGACATAGGAAGGTATGCATGGGTAAAGGGGAGGTTTTCAAAAAACCAAAACCCAGCACGTCTGATAGGAAGTAGATCGCAGTTGGGTAAGAGAAGGGAGAGACTCACGATGTAGAACTGGGCTGACACTGTGTTCCTGGAAGATGAGGATTTCTTCCCGGGTACCCTAAATGCTCAAGGACACCTAAATTGGACGTAGCACGCAACAGGTTCTGAAGAAAATGTTGTTGTTGTTGTTGTCAGGTGCCATCGAGTTGGAACCGACTCATAGCAACCCCATGCACAGCAGAACGAAACAATGTCCGAT